GTTAGATGGAAAGAGCTTGTAAATCTTTGTATGTCTAGCATTTTTGAAAAAAAAACAAATCTATGACGACAATATAGCGTGAATAGTACTTTCTATATGCGCTAGTAACTACTAACGGTACTTGGTTGCATCTTAGTCTCCTACTAGGTCTGGCTATATGATGTGTCCCGGGGTCTAGTCGTATGAAGACTCGTGGATGGCATCCTGGCGAGCGACCAGCAGCTGCGGCAGCAAAGGTATCAGGCTTTGATCAAAATTGATCACCTTAGGTCAGGCAGAGTGCTCAAAATTAGCGCCTTCAGCGCTGGTTTTGGAAACTGGCGCTCATGTGAGCCACACCTATAAGGGCCCACTAGGATAATCGCTTGGCTGCGATCGCCCGCTCGCGAGCCACCTCATTCGCTGATTTCCCCCACAAAAAACCCCACGGTCCCTCCTCACTATCTAGGAAAAAACCAATATCTGCTGGTTCTCGAAAAAACACATACATGTTTTTAAGGGAAAATAAATAATTTTAAAAATTCATGAAAAACGCAGGTTTAATAGAAAAAACATAAATTTGCAAAAAAAAAATCATGAATTTAAAAAATCATGAATTTAAGAAAAAAATCATCATTTTTCTTCAAGAATTTGAGAAAATGTTTAGGAATTTTAAAAAGTTCATATTTTTTTGGAAACAAGTTCTCAAATTGTCAAACGTTAATCGATTTCAAAAAAAGTTCATCCTTTTTTAAAAAAGTTCTAAATTTGAAAAAACATGCATTTGTAAAAATTTCATCAACTTTGAAAAAAGATTGCGAAACGTTCATCGATTTGGAAAAATTTTCACAAATTTGAAAAATGTTCACGGACTTGAAAAACTTCATAGATTTTGAAATAAAAAGCTCATGGATTCGGAAAAAGTATATCGGTTATGAAAGAAAGTTCACATATTTTTAATTGTTAGCCCTCCCGTAAAGAAATATAAGATCATTTAGATCACTAAAGTATTATTTTGCAAACATACTGAAAATTTCATGAATTTGAAAAGGTTCATGCAATTTTTAAAAAGTATATTAGAGTTAGCAACAAACTAAAAACATAGTTCGTGAAATTTGAAAAAATGTTCGTCGAGTTAAAAAAGATTCACGAATTTGAAAGAGAACCAGATTATTAAAAATTCCATGCACTTGCAAAATAAAAAAGGGTAAAAGAAACAGGAAAAATAAATTAACATAAAGAACCCAAGGAAAACAAAGGAAAAAATGGCCCAAAAAATCAAAAGAGAAGGAAAATAAGAGGGAAAACAAAGAAGGAATTTGACATAGCAGGTGAGGTCTCCCACGTGGTTATCATGTTGGGTTTTGAACCTCACAGTTTGAGTCTCACATACGTCAATTTTTTGAAGGTTGCTGAAAAAGATAAAAAAAAATGGGCCGAGCAAAGGCGGAGGGGGGTTGTGTGCCGGTTTGCACAATAGCCTATAACCAGCACTAAAGGCGCATAATAGGAATTTGGGGTCACGCACCTCCTCGGGAGCTATATATGGCCTTAAGCGAGATGGGATTTGCTCTTGCTGAAGGAAATAGCGACTCGCGCAGGCAACTAGGTTCGCCCACTTGCGAACACTAAAATGGTAATAAGCGAATAAAAAGGGAGATCTTTGAAAAATAGCGACTCGCGCAGGCAACTAGTTCGAGTCTCACATACGTCGATTTTTTGAATGTTGCTGAAAAAGATAAAATAAAATGGGCCGAGCAAAGGCGGAGGGGGTTGTGTGCCGGTTTGCACAATAGCCTATAACCAGCACTAAAGGCGCATAATAGTAATTTGGGGTCACGCACCTCCTCGGGAGATATATATGGCCTTAAGCGAGATGGAATTTGCTCTTGCTGAAGGAAATAGCGACTCGCGCAGGCAACTAGGTCGGCCCACTTGCAAACACTAAAATGGTAATAAGCGAATAAAAAGGGAGATCGCAAGGGATTCGGTCCCTATTGTCCTCGATAATTGGTTGCGGTGCTAGCCGACGAGCTAGCGTCGAGTTCCTGACATAGTACTAGGGGATGACCTACTTGTGACAAAACAAGCCAGATGTCCACTAGTTTTTCTCGGTTTATCAGTTTTACTGTTTTTTCTCTTTTCTTTTAATGCTTCATTTTTATCCTTTTCTTGTTTTCTTCATGGACCAATTTTTAATTCACTATTGTTTTATCACATTCATGAACATTTTTTAATTTCACATTTTTTAGAAGTTTTAGAATATTCTAAATTTGCAAAATATACTAATTAAGTAACATTTTTTATATTAACGAACATTTGTTGAATTTGCATGAACATTTTTTCATTCTCTATTTTTTTCATATTTGCCAACACCTTTTGAATTCATTATTTTTTAAGAATTCACGTACATTTTTTGAGTTAATGAACATTTTCTTAATTCGTGAATTGTTTTGAATTCTCAAACATTTTTTCAAATGGAAGAACATTTGTTTAGATAAATTGTCATTCAAGCCCTGATTGCTACCAAGCGTTGTTCGACTTTTCTTGAACGGACGTCTCGTATTTGATCAGTCCGCTTAATTAATGTGTTATTGACAGACCTGACGGCTAGCTCTTTACTACCCTCTCCGTCCGGCGGCTAGCTCTTTACTACCCTCTCCGTCTCAAAAACTATGTGTTAGATATATCTAGACACGGATGTATCCAGATACAAAAAGACAAACTTTTTGAGATGAAGGTAATATAAAAAAACAAAATTGCTATTCCTAGGAACGACTTCGACCAAAAAACTACGTAGTTTAAGAGAGAGCCAATAAAAAGATGAATAACATGCCCAATTGCTTCCCATAAAAATTGCAGCAGATGGGCAATCTTTGTGAAAAGCAATTGGGAAATCTTTCAGAGAGTGGTAAGGGGGTGGTCGATGTCTTGAAGGGAACTGATATTTCTGCGAGGAATGAAGGGGTTTGGCATGCTCTTACCTCTGAATTCATTAAGATATTGTTGACACCAGTTTTGTGGAGAGTATTAATACTGGTAGTGTGAAGGTTATTGCTAGAAATCATACCGGCCAAGTCATCATCTCCTCTTGGAATTATATCCGGTCGTGCTTTGGTGTTGATGAAGCAGAATTTCATGCGTATCTCGCGGGTCCCTATATTGGTATCAGCCTCAGCAAACTGATTACTTTAGAATCTGATTGCTCTTTTGTGGCTTACTATCTTGCAAATAAAACTTTTGACGGGTCCCTTTTATTGAGATTGGAGCGCTTAGGCCTTGTATAATGGTTAGTACTTATGGCCGTGCTTAGAAAAATAAACCGAGGTTTTTAACACACCAATGCCTAATTCTATAGGAGAGTAGTCGAATTAAACATCTACCCTCTACAAACAAACATGGGTGCCTAAAAAATGTTGGTTTATTTCTCTAAGCACCTTTCTTAAATGCCTTGCATTGTACAAGGTCTTAGCATCATTAAGCTTATTAAAAATATTAAGATCTAAAAAATCAATCGCCGGGCTGGTGGCTCATGAGATTGGAAAGTTTCGTTTTGAAAATAGGTCTGGCGGTGTCCTTTTCAATAGTGTTCCACCGTGCGTGACGTATGCCGTGATGAACGGTTGT